GCCTTTAGGATGTTTTGATGGGAGCAATTTTGGGTGAATGTCAATCGCTTAGAGAAACAGATTGTTTCCCTCTGTGTCTCAGTTCCTCTTTCCCTCCTTTTTACCTCAGTCAGGGTCCTCGGTGTTCAGTGTAAGTTAGAAACGTGTCTGTTTTCTAAATGAGTCAGAGTGTGCTCGTGTTTAGAAATGTGTCTGTTAGCGTGAGTTAGTAAAAGCAGCATTTCGGTGTTCTGAATGTTTATGTAACCAGTAAACCGAGTGAACCAAATAATGAAGCCAATGAGTTACAATACCATAATAACCAGTGGACATGCTTGTTTTATATTCTGACTAGAAGATTTTCGTAAGTAGAGAGAAACATGTTTATTCTTTCTAAACCAAGAATCTTTAGTTATTTTATACGGAAACTGTATGCCACTTGAACAAAACTAATGTGAGGTAAATCCAACTAAATCTATCTAAAAATGAACAGTAAGTCTACAAATTCTAAAAAAGATCAAACAAATATTGTATATAAAACATAAGCAACACCAAAACACGTTCAAAACAGTGAGGCACAACCATCCCTTTAAAGACCCCACTCAGGTAGCCTGCCTGAAGAGAAGGGCCTTCGCCCGCTTGCAGAGCATTTCTACATACACCGACCCACTCCTTCTGTGACCAGAAGTCTTTGCTCTGATCAGAGAAGAACAAGGAGTCACCATATTCATTGGCTAGGGGCATTCCACTGCCCCCTCACTGCTGGAGCGGGCTCTATTCCTCTCATGGAAGCTTCCAGAAGGAGTGTAAATGCCACTGCCAGCCTTTTGGTTTGGTTACCAGGACTTTGAGAATGATGCTAGATAGTTAGTGGGAGCCCAGATATCACAAGGGCGCACATGTTTTATTTCACATAGATCATCTACTGCATCCTTTAAGATATGTTTTCATTGTGCAAGTGGCTTGATTTCTTCCCTGGCACTATCTCAGTTCGGATTTTGAGGTTCTCTCCCCAAAAGACACTCCCAATTTAAAACAGGCCGCATCCTGGCCTCAGAAGAGTGAACAAGAAGGGCCTTCAGTCCTGGATTTCAGGTTGCTCACGTGGAGCTCTCCAAGGTGCGTCTTTCTCACTTTCTCTCCCTTTGCTTTCTTCTCATGATCAGGACAGAGTAGTTCACATTTTGCCATGACACTGAAAATCAGACCTCAGTCTATTCCCTTTTTACTGCACTCATAGTTCCTCTTGTTCCTTGAATGGTTGCTTCTGCTAATTAGCATTTGCTGGCTCTCCAAGAGACAAATGTACCTGACTTTCCCTCATCAAGGCCAGTCTTTAGTTGTTCCCAATGGAAAATAAACAGGGTACATTTTGACCTCTTCTGATGGAGGAGCGGGCATGAGTCATCAGATGATTCCAAGAATAGTTGGGACATGGCAACTTCTAAGCATCAAATAGAGCTGAGCCAAAATTTCTCAGAAAACATTCTGAGATTTTTCTTTGTTTTGTTAACCATCTTTCCTCCCCTCTGACACACAGAATGAAAGCATCTTTGCAGAATTTTCTTGAAACGTTCACCACCGTTTTCCTGCCAGCTGTGTCTCAGCTGGTGGTGGGATATACGATAGCTTTCTGGAGCTTTCTCTTGCTTGGAGATGAGAGTCCTCAAAGCAGGGGTTGGTGATTCTGGGGAGATGGATTTTCTCCCCAGGATCTGGTTAGTGGACTATATAAAGTCAGAGTAACCTTTGCCCCAAACCTTATCATTCTGATTGGAGATGAGATTCCCCTCTCCTATTGGGAACAGAAGGACAGAAGCAGATGCCCAAATAGGGGGAAACAGGGTCATATACCCCGTACTCTTCAGAATCCAGTTCTGGATGGATGGCTCCTTGGGTCAGAGGTTCGCATTTCCAGCTGAAGGTAACCCAGTTCCAAACTGTGAAGACTTTTGTGCTGAAATTTGTAACATCCAGTTAATGGCTTAATTGCTTTCAAAAGTGGAACTGTGCTTGTCTTCCTTTTAGATCCCTTTGTGAAAATCCAGCTTGTTCATGGATTAAAACTGGCAAAAACCAAGAAGACCTCTTGTATGAAGGCCACCATTGATCCATTCTACAATGAGTCCTTCAGCTTCAAGGTTCCACAAGAAGAACTTGAAAACGCCAGCTTAGTCTTCACAGGTACGATCTCCAGTCTCTTTCAGCTGTAGCTTCCAGACTTGTTGACTGAGATCTAAATATGCAGGAACCATTGACCAGCAAAGTCAGCTGGTCAATGATTCCTGCATAAAATTGGATGTGAGGGGAAAAATGATTTCAAAGAAAAGGACAGATCTCTTTAATTCCATGACACACTTATGAATAAATATGCAACATCTCTTTTCAGAAGACTCCTGTTAGCTCTTACTGAAAAATGTTCTTCTAGATCAGTGGTTCCCACCCTTGGGTCGCCAGATGTGCTTGGACTAGAACTCCCAGAAGTCTTCGCCACTAGCTGGGCTGGTCAGGGTTTTTGAGAGCTGCAGTCAAAGGTTGGGAACCACTGTTCTAGATAAATCTTTTAAATTTGGCTGGTTGTACTATGATGATGTCACTTTGCTAGAAAGCTGCTGTGCTGTAGTTCAGGCGAGTATGGCAGAGTTCTCAAGCAGCTCATTTTAATTACTTCACCAAGCTGTAGATCCAAGGATACCATAAGACAGAGACATGGCTTTGGTAGTAGTGGTATCAATCTGCTATAAATTGGTAGCAAGCTGCTATACCTGCATAGTGTGAATCACAGGTAGGCAACATAGAACCCTTAGGCTGTAGTGCAGCCCCCAGGGCTCAGATGTGTTCCCCAGCAGTTCTACTGAATTTCAGAAAGAACATTTTGAAAATAATTGGGAAGAAAAAAATGCTCGTTTTGTGCCTTCTAGCAGATATGGAGATCAATTTCCCATCGCTTCAAAAGTACATATATGTATACATATGTATGTATTGCATTGGCTGCCAGTATGCTTTCAGGCAAAGTTCAAGTTGGTGTTAACATAATGCAGATGGACAGAGTAGGAAATACCTACCTACCTACCTACCTACCTACCTACCTACCTACCTACCTACCTACCTACCTACCTACCTACCTACCTACCTACCTACCTACCTACCTACCTACCTACCTACCTACCTACCTACCTACCTACCTACCTACCTACCTACCTACCTACCTACCTACCTACCTACCTACCTACCTACCTACCTACCTACCTACCTACCTACCTACCTACCTACCTACCTACCTACCTACCTACCTACCTACCTACCTACCTACCTACCTACCTACCTACCTACCTACCTACCTACCTACCTACCTACCTACCTACCTACCTACCTACCTACCTACCTACCTACCTACCTACCTACCTACCTACCTACCTACCTACCTACCTACCTACCTACCTACCTACCTACCTACCTACCTACCTACCTACCTACCTACCTACCTACCTACCTACCTACCTACCTACCTACCTACCTACCTACCTACCTACCTACCTACCTACCTACCTACCTACCTACCTACCTACCTACCTACCTACCTACCTACCTAGCTGCCTACCTACCTTCCTAGTTGTAAGGGGAAAGGGTGTGGAACTACGTCGTAGCCCTCCAAGGTTCAAGGATGGTCATGTTTGGCCCATGAACCTCTGGAAAATCCCCTCCCTTAGCACAGATAGTGCCCTCCGAATTGAGCATCATCATTGTTTGCCACTCTTTAGCAAATGTGCATTATTAGAACCCATGGTCGGAATCTGATCTGGTGTGATATCTGAATTTATAAATCGTAGTATTTGATAACTGATTCACCCTCACAGAGAACCACACAGAGGGAATGGGAATAAAACTGAGGATGGCAAATGAAAATGGATAAGTAAATTTAAACTGTAAAATTTCAAACCATGGTGATTCAACAAACCATGATTTGAATTCTAAACTCTGATTGGTGCCAAGTGTTTGCTTCTTGTGATGTTGAAACTGAGCGCATGTGACACTTGTAGGTTTTTCTTCCCTTCCCTTTTTTCAATTCCTTTGTAATATTTCAGTGGTTCTATTTAATAGGAAATGAAAAGGGGAGAAAATTTTGTAGCTCTCATTTTGTACACGGTAAGAAACAGATGTTATGCCTGAGATGATAAATGAAAATTGAATCCATTAAGGTTGTTTCCAAACATTTCATAACCAAAGTGTTGCTCATCAGTAATTCATACCTCACCTGCCATGCGAGGAAAAGGCTCTAATTAATTGGAACACCACATGCAACCGTCTTGAATATACTGCATCGGGTGTGGAAAGATGAAGCTGTAGCTACAGTCCAAATCAAGATCTTGCAAGTGATTTCCTTTTTGTTCTGACCTCACTCTAGGTAGCTAAATTAGCAGTTGTCTGCTGCTAGTTGTCTTTATTCAAAAAGCAAAGCAAAAGCAGAGTGTGCTGCTTATGTATCGCCCCACAGTGCTTAAAGCACTCTCTGGGTGTTTTACAATTATGCAGGCTACACATTGCTCCTCCCCTCCAGCAAGTGACTTTGGAAGGATGGAGGGCTGAGTCAACCTTGAGCTGGCTACCTGAGACCAGGATCAAATGCAAGTCAGGAGCAAATTCTTCATTCCAGTACTGCAGTTTAACCATGCACCAGTGCATCAACACTTTTTGCGGGAGTGTCTTTTGTACAATTGCTTAGAGCAGGAGTTGGGGACATTTTTTTCTGTCCGGGGCCAAACTCCAATTAAGGAAGGAACTTGAGTGTACATTCAAAGAGTAGAACAAAGCAAAATAGACAAGGACGGATGTAATTCTTACCAACTTGGACATTTTCCCACCAAGCATCCAGATCGCAGCTCTTTTATGCATGTCTGCTCCAGAGTAAGCCCCATTGCAAGAGTGCTCAGAAAGGCACAGTATAGCTCAATTCTTTGGCTGTCTACCCAGGAGTAACCTAACTGTAACAATCTTCCAGGCTGCAAAGCAGAGCACAGTTCTGTTTAGTAATTCCTTGGACTTTAATTGGCTCTTAATCTCTAATTGCTGATCAGAGATAGGAGTTACTGGTTTGCGAGTTACGCCACGTTCCACAAAGTTGTACCCATTGAGTCTGCACTGACCCTCAGCTGGCGGACGAAGGGCAAGGCGCAGGAGGCAGTCACTCACTCGTCTTGTCACCGAGATAATTTTCTAAATGCCTCTGTGCCTGATGGCAAACTATGCTAGCTACGTACTGTATTCTCGAAGGCTTTCACGGCCGGGATCTGATGGTTGTTGTGGGTTTTTCAGGCTCTTTGGCCGTGTTCTGAAGATTGTTCTTCCTAACGTTTCACCAGTCTCTGTGGCCGGCATCTTCAGAGGACAGGAGTAGGAACTCTGTCCATGCTCTGTTGCTAGCTACATCTGTCACTTTCCTGGAGGGACCCATTTTGTGGGTGTATAAGTCAGACATCCAAAATCCAATCTTCACCAAACATGACGGGCATGTATTTATTTATTTATTTTTATTTATTTATTTAATTTATATGCCGCCCACACTACCCAAAGAGAGTAAGAGGAAGCTTCCTTGCAAATTTGATGTCTTTAGGTGCTTGGGGGGGCATTTTATAGGGTCTTAAATTAAAATATGAATGGATTAATCGATTCATCAGTTTGTTGATTTTTTTGTAAATTCATGATTGTTGACCGTGATGAATTACAAATTGTTACAAATCACCATTTTTAAAATTCGTGCCTGTGACAAACCCAGACCTACTGGGGGATGCCACACTTTCACTAAGCTGCCACCAACCATTCCCTGTAAGGAGTCACACAGACCAGGAATGGATTTTTAAACAAACAAAGGAATAAGGTTTATTTAACTAACACACAGGGAAAATAAAATGATCAAGTGAATAAGATACAGTAACGTGGCTTAGTCTCAATCATACATACACCAGTTTGGTTCACACAGAACACCTTTAAATAAAGCACAGACCCTGAACCTATCAGTTCTGGCTTCCCATACAGACACCTGAACCTATCAGGTTGGTACTGACTGACACACAGTAGTACCCTGTCTGACACACAGACTCCCACACCAGCTTCTTCTCTCAGCTCTCCTCCAGCTTCTCCTGCTTCTTCACACAAACTCCACATATATATACAGTACAGCCCCTCCTCCTTGATGTCCCGCCTTCCACTCCCCATAGGATGGAACTTTCCCTCCAAACCCATGACAGACAGGTACCATCAGTGCTGTATGTAACAGTGCCCACCTCTAATATTTATTTATTATTTATTTATTTTATTTATATCCCGTCTATCTAATCAATTAAGATTACTCTAGGCGGCTGACAACAATAAAACAACAACAATATAGTTAAAACAATTTTACAAAGGAAAAGTTGCAGCAAGATGGGACAGAACTAGGGAGTGGAAGGAAAGGGGGATCAGGAACTGACAAAGGGAAAGCTCTATTATATGGTCTTGCACCCTCTCAATGACCCTCTTGATCCATGTGATATAGAATATGGGCACCAATATGTGGTAATACAGTTTATTTCTTACTACTGAATTCTGGAAAAGAGCAGTTAGTAGAAATAATCTTAACTCATGTTACAACAAAAATAAGGGGAAAGGCAACCATACAAAGTCCTCTGAGGCAAATGGAACAAGAGACTGAACCATGATGAGAAATTCCGTGTCCTCTTAATTTCTTCTGACAATTTACTACTTTGTTCTGAGTGGTTGTAAAATGATATCTCCATCATGGACAGGTGTGTCATAACCCAATCAACAAAAGGTTAAATCTTTGTACCGCTTTGTTTTAAAAACACAGTATTAACAACAGGCCTCCTGCAATTTTTTACAATAATCCCAGGTGAAGGTGACCATGTTTCATTCATTTCAGACATTTATTTACTTCGGATAAACACTGTCTCATTTAAGGCGCATAACTATGTTTGTAGATATCATCAATAACTAGGTAAAAATCAAGTTTATTAGAACAGTGATTAAAATCTCAATCAAAGAATATGAGTTCACATGAATATGGGAAATTGGCATCTCTGAATCATCAGCAGCACTTTTAATTTCCATGTAAAGTGGTGTCTCGCTAGACGATTATCTCGCAAAACGGTTAATTCGCAAGACAATGGGTTTTTGCGATCGCTATAGCG